GCATTTCCTGGTATCGAGATTCTCCATCAATGCCGGAGTTCATGAGGCCCCATCTGTCGAGACCGATGGGCAAACCTTCCAAGCCGTCGCATTCGACAGTTCCAAAGTTTAAAGAGCCATCGAACCCAATTCCATCAATACCGATGCTACCTATGTCATTTTCCAAGCCGTCTAAGCACTCCGCCTCTTCAGACGCCTCCTCCCAATCGGGACGAAAACCCCGATCCTCCAGTGGAACCCTCGCCGCCTCAACAAGTGGCCGATGATTTTCCAGTCTCCCCTTCGAAAGACTTGAAATCCTACAGAGCTTTCATCAAGCAGATGGCTAACATGCTCACTCTGTCTATGGTACAGCCCCCGCCTACTGTGACCGACTCTGTGTTTGATATCGTCTAGATGGACACTTCTACACCTATTGCCTTACCAATGACTTTGGTCCTCCTTCAGGCGGCTAAAGTCCCATGGTCTCACCCGGCATCTACACCTGTCTCGAGCTGTAGGGTAGATCATGTGTATAAAGTGCAGGAATAGGGTGCTGAATTTCTGTTTACCCACCCTAAACCAAATTCTGTCATAGTCACTTCTTCCTCCAAGGACAGACGCAGTGATTCCACCCCCTCTGAGAAAGAAGGAAGGAAATTTGATTCGTTTGGAAGAAAATTTTATTCTGTGGAAGCTCTTGGCATCAAGACCTCAAACTATAAAGCATGTATGGGGAGATACCAGTTTGCTCTTTGGGAGCAGATGTCTGAATTTATTGCAACCCTCCCTGAGGATGCTAACCATCAGGCTCGCAGGATTCAGAAGGAGGGAATGCTTTTGGCTAAGCATCAGCTCAATACAGCTAAGCACACATTGGATGCGGCTGCCAAAACGCTGACTTCAGCAGTTATCCTCCGACGTCTTACCTGGTTGCGTTCTACTGCCCTACCACAGGACACCAGGACTCTTATTGAGGACCTTCCATTCGAAGGTGAGGGTCTTTTCAGTGTCACAACTGATACGGTCCTGCAAGACCTAGACAAAAGTATAAAGACATAGCGGAATTTAGGGAAAAGGTTGGCTCCTAAACTATCCAAAGCAAAATCCTGGAACAAGCCATGTTCTAGCAGATCCTCTCTTAAGTCGTCCTGCAAGACCTAGACAAAAGTATAAAGACATAGCGGAATTTAGGAGTCACGTTGGCTCCTAAACTATCCAAAGCAAAATCCTGGACCAAGCCATGTTCTAGCAGATCCTCTCTTAAGTCATCCTCGGAAGCACAGTGGCAATGCTCACCCACCGTGTCTTCCCGCCCTTATGGGCACAAACCAAAATCCTCATCTGTCTCTCAGCCTAAGGCTAAGACTCAGAAAGCTTCCAAGCAGAGCCTTTGACTCCTATCGTCCCACCCCTACCCGCCTGTCTCCCTACTTGGCTGCTTGGCAGTGAATAACATCAGACCGGTGGGTACTGTCCATCATCGAAAAAGGGTACCTGATAGAATTTATCCAGGTACCCAAGACCCCCAACTTCATAATTACTCCACCATCCAGTACGCTCCAGGAAGAAATCCAGAACCTTCTTCAAAAGGACACCATTGAACCAGTTCTAACAGCACAGCGTCAACATGGGTTCTACTCCCGTTATTTTACGGTCCCCCAAAAAGATGGAGGACTCCATCCTATTATGGACCTCAGGGAACTCAACCAGCTTATCTCCTATCAGAAATTCTGAATGACAACATTACAAAGCATTCTCCCCCTTCTCAGCGAGGGTGTCTGGATGGTAACCTTGGACTTGCAAGACACATATTTTCATATAACTATCCACCCATCTCACAGGAAGTTTTTGCATTTTGCAGTTGCGGATGGCCATTTTCAGTACAAAGCCCTTCCTTTTGGACTCTCAACAGCGCCCAGAGTCTTTACAGAAATGATGATTGTCATCGTGGCATACCTCTGTCTCCAGAGTTTACTGATCTTTCCGTATATAGACGATTGGTTGCTGGTAGCAAGCTCCAGAGAGACTCTGCTCAACCATATTGATTTAACACTGGTCACCTTAGGGTGGGCCTGAGGGTGAACTTGGAAAAGTTAATACTCCTACCTTCCTTGAGAGTCCAGTTTATCGGAGCAATTTTAGATTCGACTGTCTGCCGAGCCTTTCTCCCTCCCAAAAGGGCGAAGACATTATCGCTCTCATCAACCTGATAAAAACACAGGAAGATGAATAATCAAAGCAGATTCAACGGCTCTTGGGCCTGATGGCCGTCACCACAGCGGTTCTTGTCTTCGCCAGACTACAGATGAGACCACTTCAGCTGTGGTTCCTCAAATGTTTCCATCCACAGTGGCAGCCCCAGTCTCAATGGTTCATGCTACCTGTGCAAGTGCTGAATTCCCTACAGTGGTGGGAAACTCCAGACAACCTCCTACAGGGAGCCCCATTTCTTGCACCCAGCCCCGAAATGACCCTAACCACGAATCCATCCCTGTGGGGATGGGGGGCTCACCTCCAAGGTGTGTGGGTGTGTGCCAAATGGGAATTGCATGTGGCCCACAAACACATCAACTTCCTGGAACTGCTCGCCATCCAGTATGCCCTAAGGTCTTTTTGCCACTTCGTGGCTCACCGTACGGTGGCAATCCTTACAGACAACACCACCACACTGTGTTACCTGAACAGGCAAGGTGGGACAGTGTCCAGGGGGCTCTGTCGACTGGCCCAGGAGTTTTGGACCGAGTGTCAATCCCGGGATGTGTTCATCATTGCTGCTCACCTGCCAGGATGGCTCAATGTGTATGCGGACTTTCTGAGCAGAGGAGGCGCATCCTTCCACAAGTGGGAGCTCAACTGGGCTTACCTCCAACCAATTTTCCACAGATGGGGTCACCCAGAAATCGATGCGTTTGCGATGCATCAGAACGCAAAGTGTTATCTGTTCTGTACCAGGGTGGAACAGGACCCTCTGTCTCTGGGGGACGGCCTCTTGTTCCCATGGTCGCACAGGCACATGTACCTGTTACCACCAGTTCCTCTACTAACCAGAGTGCTGACCAAGATCATGAAGGAACAACCTAAATGCATCCTTGTAGCACCATGGTGGCCACGTCAGCACTGGTTCCTGACTCTACTCCACATGTCCCGGGGCATATAGATTCATCTCCCCCCGGCACCAGATCTCCTCCTGGCTCAGGAGGGCAGAGTGCTTCACCACGATGTACCACACCTCACGGTGTGAAGAATCCCTTAGCACAGCTCAGAAACAGGATAGACCTTGTTCTGTTGAACTGTCGGAAGCCAGCTACACATGTTTCCTATGAAGAGAAGTGGAAGAAATTCCTGTCGTACCTCGAGTCATTGGGTTTACCTCCGCCCCTACGGACTTTATGATAGTTTTCGGATTCTTGTTGACCCGTCTGGACTTGGGTCTTAGTTGTTCTTCTTTAATAGTTTACTTAGCTGCCATTTCCGCCTATCATCCTGCAGTGGACGGCTATTCTGTTTTTTCTCACCCGCAAATGAAGCAGTTTCTGAAGGGCCTTACTCGCCTCTTCCCGCCAGCTCGTGGACCAACTCCCTCCTGGGACTTACCTCTAGTACTGTCCAGATTAACGGGCAAACCGTTTGAGCCCATGGCCACATCTACCTTGCAGCTTCTCTCGTGGAAGACTGCCTTCCTAGTAGCCATTGCCTCAGCAAGACGAGTGAGCGAATTGTCTGCACTCTGTTGTGATTCTCCGTATTTGGTTTTTCACTGTGATGGTGTCACCTTGGCCCTGGATGTCTCTTTCCTGCCCAAGGTTGTTTCTGAGTTCCATTTGCGAGCGGACATTGCCTCTTCCGACATTTTTCCCGTCACCTACGAGTGACGAGGAACACCGTCTTCATACTCTAGATGTCAAGAGAGCCATACTCTTCTACCTCGGTACGACAAGGTCATTCCGTCAGTCACCAGTCTTGTTCATCTCCTATAGCACACCTGTGCAGGGGAAGAAGCTTTCTTCGCAATGTCTATCCAAGTGGATTGTGGAAGCCACCAAACTATGCTATTTACGGCCATTTCCGGGCCCGCTCCAGGCGCATTCCACCCGGGCAGTAGCCACGTCCACAGCCTTCCTGATAGGGTCGTCACTCACTGACATCTGTCAAGCAGCAACCTGGGCTACCCCCCACACGTTCGTGAAGCATTACGCCCTGGATGTACATCTTCATCAATGTTCCGTGGTGGGACGGGCAGTGTTGCAGATGCCGCAAGTCTAGGACCTTCAACTCCCTCCTCCAGGTAGGCCTGTTTATGCTTGCTAATCTCCCAGAGGTGTGATGCACAGAGACCACGAAGAAGATAAACAGGTTGCTTACCTGTAACTGATGATCTTCGAGTGGTCGTCTATGCATTCACACCACCCACCCTCCTTCCCCTCTGCTTTCGGTCATCTCCTTTTTTATTACTCTGAGACTGATGGCAGCGGTCAGAAGGAACTGGCAGGATTGTCGTGCCCCTCCCTTGGTCATGCGCAGTGGGGCCGGCGTGTGACTGGGGAGCAGGCGCGAAAATCCCTTTCGCTTTCGAGATGAACTAATCAAGGTCGGCGCAGACGCACTGTATCCCAGAGGTGTGAATGCACAGATGATCACTCGAAGATTATCAGTTACAGGTAAGCAACCTTTTTTACGTATATGTGCCTGCTGCTAGATGGTCATTGCTCAGGCAATAAACCTCCTCAAGAAAGGAAGATTGTTGGCATGGCTACAGCAAGCCAAAGAATCATATCTAATTCTGAACAATAGCCCAATAGTACATATTTTAAAATGGATCCTTGTTCAGATAGAGGACTTTTTTCCCTGCAAGTTCCGGGAAACCCCTGCAACCCAAAACACCAGCTATGCCGGTGCCAGTAGTAGCGGCAAGAGGCTTGGGGAGCAGAAAGCCCATAGGACACACTTTCTGCTTCAACCTTCCCTCCCCATGCTGGCTAGCTATTTGGAGGTCTAACTGTCAGGAGGGATAGAGGGAGATGGAGAAAGACGCACCAGGGATTCTAGGGGGAGAGAAACTGGTGATTGGGGTAAGATGGGAGATTTCCAATTGCCAAGCACCCTACTATATTTAAAAGAAGCATTAAATGACATGAGCCAATAAAGGACTGAGCCTCTCTTCCCTGATTTTCAAAAACCAAATGGGCTTGTGTCCAACGAGACAGCAGTTGCCCAAATAACTCCAAGCATACACTTTGTGTTAGCATAGGACAGAAACTGAAATTGATACAGATAAACAGGACAAGGATGAAACTCAAATTGTATTTAATTAATGCAATTCTCTTTGCAAAAGTTGCTAGGAAATTTTTCACAGTCAACTGATGATGATTCAGTATTTGAGTAGACAGAGCAAGGATTGACAAGGCCATTCACTATCCAAAGTAACCTAAGTTGACTGAGTCTTCACAGTAGGGATGGGCACAAACTGGAAAGATGTAGGTTTGTGGAGGTTCGTGCTTTGAGGGTTTTCATGAACCCCAGACTTTTCCATTGCATGAACCAGTTCATGCTTTGGAAATTGTGGGGACCCCACCCGGAAGTGAGCTCCAAAGGCAGTTAAATGCCCTCAGAGCCCACCACGGCTGACCCAGATGAGCTCCAAAGGCAGTTAAATGCCTTCAGAGCCCACCTCCAGGTTGGGCCGGCCTAACTGAGGTCCAAGAGAGAAGTCCAGGCCTTTGGAGCTCACTCTTGGAGCTCAGTCCAGTTGGGTGGCCCAACTCAACTGAGCTCCCAGAGTGAGCTCTGAAGGCTTTTATAGGCCGTATGTGCCCTTATATATGGGCAGGCCCCACCCGGAAGTCAGCTCCGAAGGCCTATAAAAGCCTTCAGAGCTCACTATGAGAGCTCAGTCGAGTCGGGCTGCCTGACTCAACTAAGCTCCAAGAGTGAGTGCCAAAGGTGCCAGTTTGGTGTAATGGTTAAGTGTGCAGACTCTAATCTGGGAGAACCGGATTTGATTCCCCACTCCTCCACTTGCAGCTGCTGGATGACCTTGGGCAAGACATAGTTCTGTCCGAACTGTTCTTGAAAAACCAGTTCTAAAAAGAGCTCTCTCAACCCCACCTACCTTACAGGGTGTCTGTTGTGGGGAGGGGAAGGGAGTTTGTAAGCTGCTCTGAGACTCCGAGTGAAGGGTGGGATAGAAATCTAATCTCCTCTTTTCAGTTGGGCCAGCCCGACACAGAGGTGGGCTCCGAAGGCATTTAAATGCTTTTGGGGGTCACTTTGGGTCTGGTGGCTCAACCCGGAAGTGGCTTCAAAAGCATTTAAGTGCCTTTGAAGTTCACTCTGGTCTGCTGATGTACTCTGACGACATTTAAATGCCTATTGAGCTCACTTCCGAACTTGCACACAAACCTCCATGAAAACATGGAGCTTTATGGGATGAACCGGTCTCCCAAACCCCTGGTTCGTGCTTCATGAACCGGCCTGGTTCATTCCAAACTGGGGTTCATAAATCGGTTCATTCTCATCCCTATTTCACAGTGATACTGGCAGCTGTAAAGAAGTATATCTTCAGAACTGCTGTAGGTATAATTCTCTAAGTATCTGCCATATTCAGTCACTCTGGTATAAGTTAAGAGTCAGCATCATAAATTTTGGTAAACTATCCCCGTAAGGTTGGCCGGTATTATTATTCCCATATTGCATTTGTGGCTGTGATATTTGAATTGGGAGCTTGCTGGCTCATACTCAGGGACACTTTATTACACTAATTGTGTGATGATGAAGGAGGAAACCAAGAAGAAAATCTACAGTTGGATTTTTATTTACTTGCTTTGGAATAGGATTCTATTAATTCAGTTTATATGGCAAGTAGACTACTTCTATTTTTTTATAGCACTTAGCATACATAGCTTCAGTTTCTTTATTGCAGGTTGCAGTTTTCAAGAATGATAAATGCATTGCATGCCATAAGCCTTTTTGATTGCTCATTAGTGAATTGTAATTTCACACTTCATTTAAAATATTCTTAAACATTCTCACACAGTAAAAGGTTTCACACAGTAATTAAGAAGCCCAGTTAACAAAGTCTGAGAAGTCTGATTCTCTCCCGGGGAACAATCTTCCTGAATTTTTTGCATTTCAATTAACGGGTTGAAGTTTGCCAAATACACATTTTGTATTTGCTTTGGCCCATTTTTAGTTATTTATTTATTTATTGAAAGTACTACATGCTAATAAAAATTTCTGATCTTCTATTTATGCTTTTTTTTCTTTAATAGATTGATGATGAACTTTTTAATCCTGACTATGTTGAAGTTGATCGGATACTGGATGTATCAAATAGCAAGGATGATAATGGAGAGGTAATATATTTATAAAGCTGCTTTGTTTAAATATAAGCAATAGATGGCATGTTTTATTTCAGTTTGCTATAGACGTAGGTTGTAGAGATTGAGAAATGTTCATCTTGAATGCATGTGTGCATCTGAGTAGTCAAAACATTCTCTTACCTTATTTCTCTTCTATAATTCTGTTCAGTTTAATACTGGTGATAGCAGTATGACAAGAGATGATGCAAGGTGTCCTGTGGTTAAAAAGAATAGGAGATAGACTCTTGGAATTCAAACTATTCAGCCCTGATCTTTGATCACCCTTATCCTTGAGGAGGAGAAGAGATTGGATTTATACCCTGCCCTTCACTACCCAAAGGAGTCTGAGAGCGGCTTACAAACTCCTTTCCCTTCCCCTCCCCACAACAGACACCTTGTGAGGTAGGTGGGGCTGAGAGAGTTCTGACAGAAACTGCTCTTTTTCAAGAACAGCTGTGCCAGAACTATGGCTTGCCCAAGGTCATCCAGCAGGTGCAAGTGGAGGAGTCCCAGATTAGAGTCCGGTTCTCCCAGATTAGGGTCCACACACTTAACCACTACACCAAATGGGCTGCCTAATAATATCTCATGTCTTTTTAAAAATAAATTGCTCTTTACAGTACTATTTAAAATTAAAATACTAGAAAATTCCCAGACTTTTGCAATACTGTATTCCTTTCTGGGAAATACTGATATAGTTTACTGATCAATGTATTTCTTTCTTGACGTCCAACATTCATCATATAGTATCTAAATGATTGTTAAATAATTTTGTATTTCATCATTGGTATCTACATACTCAGTGTAGCATCTCAATAGGCACTGGCCAAGGAGCTAAATATAGTCCTCAACCTTCATGCTTAAGAAAATGGGCACAATCACTTACTTCATTCCCTGGAACTGTAGTAGACTATTATGTAAATAAATAGCTTATAGAAGTTCCTGAACTCTTTTCATCAGTTTTCATACTAAGATATCATAGATTTTGTTGGTTCTGCATTATAATTCATGATGCTGTTATGCTTACAGAACAAATGTTTCATTTAATCTAACTTCTTGTTTCTTGATTAAAAACAAAGCCTGTGACTCATTATTTGGTGAAATGGTGTTCACTTCCATACGAAGACAGCACGTGGGAATTAAAGCAAGACATAGACCAGGCTAAGATTGAAGAATTTGAAAAACTAATGTCTAGGGAGCCAGAAACAGAACGTGTGGTAAGATTTGGCTCTATATAGAAGTTGTTCTTTGAAAATAGCATAGCAATGTGGTTTTTAGTAACCACTAATGCGATTTGCTGTATTTGAAACAGGAACGACCTCCTGCTGATGACTGGAAGAAGTCTGAGAGTTCCAGGGAATATAAAAATAACAACAAACTCAGGGAATACCAGTTGGAAGGAGTTAACTGGCTTCTTTTCAATTGGTACAACACGTATGTAAAGTAACTTTATTGCAAAAATACTGTCTTAACACATAGCTTGTTTAACATCTTGCAATCTTGGAAATTTGGAGAGGGCTTTAGAAATGTTTTAGAAATTCAAATCTATAGAATTTCCATTCACTACCCTAAAAAAAAATTCCAGTGCATCTTGGTGTAGTAGAATTCTGCCCACATGCCATTGAAATGAGAAAGGGTTTAAAAAAAAAATCATGTGTTTAGAATTGAACCATAGTTTCATTATTAAACATTGCTATTTATTTATTGCAGGCGAAACTGCATTTTAGCAGATGAAATGGGACTGGGGAAAACCATTCAATCTATTACATTTCTCTATGAGATATATTTGAAAGGCATCCATGGTCCTTTTTTGGTTATTGCCCCATTGTCTACAATCCCCAATTGGGAAAGGGAATTCCGCACCTGGACAGAATTAAATGTTGTTGTATATCATGGGAGCCAAGCCAGCCGACGGACCATTCAGTCATATGAAATGTATTTCAAGGACCCTCAGGTAAAAGTTGCTTCTGACTTTTGCAAAGTATGACTACTTCCTGCCTGGTCACTCTCCTCTGTTGTTTAAGCCAGAAAAATGGATACAAAGATGTTTTATGATGACTTTTTATCTGTGTTGCTCAGACTGCCAGAATCAGAATGTAAAAGAGGCATTGGTTGCTTTGCAGTTTTGCTTAGGCAAAGATGCATTATTTGCAGGTATGCAGGCACTATTAGAAAGCTGCTGTGGTGTTTTCTTGTCCATTAGCATCCAGAGTAAATTCTTCAAACAACTTGCAAATTTAAGAATTTACTAGAGAATGGTATACAAAGTTGGATAAACTGAATCACTTTTTATTAAATTTTATTAATCTGATTAGGTTATTTCTGTACTTTTAGGGTCGTGTGATTAAGGGGTCATACAGATTTCATGCCATCATCACTACATTTGAAATGATTTTGACCGATTGTCCTGAGCTCCGTAACATTCCATGGCGCTGTGTGATAATTGATGAAGCCCACAGGTTGAAGAACAGAAATTGCAAGCTATTGGAAGGGCTCAAGATGATGGACCTGGTGGGTGTTGATTACTCTTAGAGTGCCAGGAAAGTTTGTGTACATGGCCATATTGATCAGACAGTTAATGTTTTGGTGGAAACCTTCCATAAACTTATTTGTTAACTTTCTTTTTAAAATAAATTAAACTTAATCTCAGTCGGATCATAATAATCCCCTCAGTGATCTACGCTGTTAATCCAGTGGATCAGAAATATTAATTATTTACAGAATTTATATCCACCTTTCTGCCCATTCAGGGCCATCAAGGCAGCTTGCCTTTTGAGTTCCAGTTACTTGCTGTTAACATTATTGCTGATAAATTAAAGGTTCAGTTTAGTTTTTGTCCCAGTTTTTAACATATGTTAATACTATGACAAATAGATCCACAGAAAGTTGTGTTGCAGTACTTGATTGTAGACCCAGGCAGCCTAAGACAATATATTACATTTAAAAAATTGTACCACATTTAAAAATAATTGTAGAATGAACTGCATGTATTTTAGTGTTGTATAGAATACTATACAGATACCATACATCATGAATTATATCAGAACAGATGAGGACCCATAAGGAATTTACAGGGGGGCATCCCATTACCCTGCTTTTGCTTCCTCCTGTCCCCCCACCCCTTTTCTATTACTGTTTCTCTCTCTTCCTCCATCATCCTCATTTTCTTTATTGCCCCCCCTTCTGTGTCATTTTACCTCTGCCTCGCCTTTCTTCCTGCATCCCTTCCTTGTCACTTTCCTTCCCTGCAAGTCTTGCCTGCCTGGCCATTCCCCCCCCCCCACAGCCCAGCTGTCTTGCTCACACAGAGGCAGTGACAGCAAAGCAGAGACATTGTGGGCATAGATGCTTCAGCTGCTCCTCGCACACATCCCCAAGGTAGTGATGGAGATAGGTGGGTTGGTGGCACATGGGGTGTTGGGGGGGGGGAATGGACAGAGAAGACTCCTGCTTCTCCTCCACCCATTGCATTGTCTGTGCAGTTGTCTGTGCAAGTGCTGACAACAATTTTCTTTTTCTATTATTTTTTTAAACTCTTATTGTTTGGGATTTTTCTGCAAACCTGAAGGGTACCCCCAAGTTTGTTGAAAGATCTCCCTTCTCTCAATATGGCCCTGATCTACAGATTTAAGTATCCACAGATGGGGGCATGTTGGCTATTAGATGTATTGATTTTCATAGTAACACTCCATATCTGATAGACTGCATATTTCAGAAGTAACCAGATGATCTCTTTATTTTCAGTAAAATATATGTTATATAGTAATCGTAAAATCACGTTCAGTTAGGGCTGCCAAACCGCGGCGGGGGATCCGTGCGTCGTCGCAGGATCGCTGCCGCGGGGGGACAGCAATCCGCATTGCACCGGTGTCGCCAGGATGTGATGCTACGCCTCGCCCTGGCAACGGGACTCCAAACAGCCCTGTTGCCAGAGCAACACGTAGCGTCACATCCTGGCGACGCCGGTGCAATGCAGATTGCTGTCCCCCGCGGCAGTGATCCTGTGACGACGCACGGATCCCCCGCCGCGGTTTGGCAGCCCTACGTTCAGTCAACAGTTTATCCTACGGTATCCTTCTATCTTCTGCTGCTCTCACCCCACTCCCAAATTTTGATTATAAATCCTTTGGGTCAGATACATATATATTTTTGCTCATATAATTCTGCACACTGCTAGTTACATGATATTAGTAATCTTAATTTAGAATTTTTTAAATCCTAGTAATCTAGACAAGTTCCTGTTAAGAGTAGTTACATGCACATTTTATGAAAAACTAAAAGCTGTGTGTTTGACTTTTTGTTAGATATAGTGATGTCTAGTAAAGATGATACTAATGACTTCACTAAAATCCTGCTTTTAATAAGAAAAGGAGTGAATTACATTCAGTAGGAAGCAAATTCTGGGAGAGCCAGTTGTTACTTACAATACATGGGGATGGAAGGAGAAGCCTAGACTTGCTGTGATTTGTGGCTAAAAAGCCCAGTTGTGTTTTTAAATGTTTGTGTCTTGCAGGAACACAAGGTGCTTCTTACAGGTACTCCACTTCAAAACACTGTGGAAGAGCTGTTTAGCTTGCTTCATTTCTTGGAACCAGGTCGTTTTCCTTCAGAAACCACTTTTATGCAAGAGTTTGGTGATCTTAAAACTGAGGAACAGGTAAATTAACAATATTTTCTTTCTCTGTATAAAGATATGTTAATTGTTTGACCAGCCTATGACTTCAAACCAGTCACTGAAAGGTTCACACCGGGGCAAGGGGGGAACTAAGCGTTTTTTTCCTTAGACAATAAAACTCTTTGTCACAGCAAGTTCAGAATTAGTGGCTGTGCACTGCCCTTTGTTACTGAAGATATTTACCACAGCAGTTTTGGCAGGAAGTGGGATCATTTTGAACAACCCCTCCACACACACATACATATTTTGTGCAAAGTGCAGTGGAAGAGATCATTTCCTATCTTGGTGACACTACACACACACAATCAGTTTGTAATTTTAAGTTGTGCAAATGGACACTTCAGTTTATAGACAAATATTTATGGGCACTGTTTACAAAATACAGATTACAGTATTCATAACCATAGTCACTCAGCAGTAGAAAAAAGGATGATACTGGCCTTGGAAAGAATGATTGTGGGGGGAATCTTGTATTAAGTAGGTATTAGATCTCCAAGTTCATATAGAGCCTTCTATCTACAGTGAGAAAAGCCAGCGAAGAAGAATTTGATTTCAGCATACTAACAAGTATATGTGCTTGCTATGGAGCTTGTCAGTTTACCAAACCTCTTCAATGATTGGGGGAGGATATATTAACACTAAATTCATAAAGGGAGAATACAGGGTTCTCTTTTTCCATGAATCTCATTTCAAGAAATTAGGTTACAACGCTGATGTTAAAACTTGTAAATATTATCATTATTACCTGTACATTACTACTGTTAACTTACTAAGTTCACATGGTTTTTCACCTGGTGACCACTCTGTTAATAGCTGTCCAATTTTGATTATCTGGTTTTCAGTGGAGTCGGTTTTAATGGTAGTATGTTAGTTTTTATATTTAAATTTTTTTGCTCGATTGTTTCATAGTGGAATGCCTAGGCAGACTGGTACACAGTGATACCATTTACATTCAGGTCTTCAGATTGCAGCATTATAGTAGATAATGTTATATGTAAGAGGACTAACTAAGTATAGAAGGTGTTATGATAAAACTACAAAAGGTCCTGTTTTTACTGCTTTCAAAAGCAACTGTTTAATTATGGGCTGTGTCCTAGGTGCAAAAACTACAAGCTATTCTTAAGCCAATGATGTTAAGACGTCTTAAAGAAGATGTGGAAAAGAACCTGGCCCCCAAGGAAGAAACTATTATTGAAGTTGAGTTGACAAACATTCAGAAGAAATACTACAGAGCCATTCTTGAAAAGAACTTTACATTTCTGTCAAAAGGTGGTGGTCAAGCAAATGTTCCTAATCTCTTAAACACTATGATGGAATTAAGAAAATGCTGCAATCATCCATACCTTATCAATGGTAGGCCTAATTTTTATTTATTTTTAAAGTAGGGGTATTAGAGGAGTGAGTTAGCATTTATGAATAGAAGTTAGAATGTGTTTTTGTATTATCTGAACATTTTTGGTAAACCTTCACATATTAGAATGGAATGATATGGAACATTCTCGTGCCATTCAGTAAGTAAAAAATCCTACACTTTATTCAGGACACAGTTCACCCTTACTCTACAAAGCAATGAAATAGGTATCAAGCGAGGAATGGATTCTTACAGGTCTAGGTGGAAGCAAGAATTTCTGGGTATGCAGGACTTGTTCAGGGCTGCAAAAGTCTGCTTACAGTGGCCATATTGCTGTGGTCTATGCATTAGTGTGGCTGAGCACTGAACTAGAAGAGGAGCTACGTCATCTTCATAGCAGTGATAATTGCAGTGATGAGGGGAAAGTAAACTGTTATTCATAAAGCCAAGATAGGAACAGTATGGCAATTTAATTACCCAAATCCTTCCTGCTGGTTTAAAAAAAAAAAATCAGTCTCCACCACCACAAGTCACAAACACATCTGCTCCTCCCAAGCCTGTTCTGTCTTCTTGCATTTCTTTTGCTGCTGTAGTTGCTGCACTAAAACATAGTCTACTTTCTCATTCATGTGCCCAGTAAGTTTCCCTTGGGAAATGCCACACATTGCTGAGTTCTGCTTTGCTGGCCACAGCCAGAGAGGAAGTGAACCTAAAAGAGCCTGTGTTTCATAATTTCCTCTCCTTTGGAAGTGAGCTGCAGCCTACACTCTGAAATATGAGTCAGGCCGAAAGCAGGCTAGGGTAATGCCTACAATTGATAAGGAAATAGGGCATGCCTTGTCAGGTTTCCCTTGATGCTGTACTTTTTTTGTAATGTTAATGTAAATCAAGGAGCTGTGATGAAGGTAGGGGGGTGAAAACCATTTGGAATCCTTCCTGCACAGTAGCAGACAGGTTTATGGCTGGAATAGTTATTCCTGAACTTTCTGATACAGTATGTGCGGGAGTAGTGGTTAGTGGTTAATCTCTTTTCCCTGCTGTAAGCATTCACTTGCATAAACAATTTGTGAAAGAACTACTGTTCACTGAAAGTACATTTTCAATACAAGTTTATGTGTAAGATGGTGTTAACAATAATGTTAATCAAGTGTTTCTAACAGTTGTATTATTAATCACATTTGTATTCTTTTAGGCTCTATTCAGAAGTCAGAGATTTGTTCATGATGGGACCCAGTTTCTTGGTCACATGTGTAGGGCATGACTGAAAGTTCCTAACATTGGAAGTCTTCAGTTAAGGTCCAGTTTGTTACACTGTCTGAATGCTGATATTTGGATAATCTGGAATTTGTTCCCCACCAACCAGAAGATTCCTAGTTTGTGGGCAAGAAACAAACTCCAATTTAAGTATTTGGAAGGCATGGCATATAAAACTTCCAAAAGTAGATCTTACATTGTGCTTCATTGATGAGAGAAGGAGGGAATGTGTGACCAAAACAAGACAAGCTCATGCCCATCATGAACAAATACGTTATAAACAGTATGGGCACAACCATGCTGTAAGATCTCATGGGGTTATTCCATGTTATTCTTATGATAGCCTTGTGTGATAAGTTAGGCTAGAAGAATCCCTTTTAAAAGAATTCATATCTTCTTGGTTCAAGTTCACTGCACTGAATGTTTGTGCAGTATTGTACAAAGGAACAATCTGTGAGGAAATGAAGGGACACAAGGTAAAAATAAATATTTATGATTGTGAATGTAGAAAATGGGGGTGGGGTTACAGTCTGTCATTGAGAATGAACCCTCTGGGGAATATGCAGACTACCTTCAGAGCTTAATGCCAAGGGGTATTTAATGCTGCCTACCTATTGCTAATCCAAGCAGAGTTAAGGAATAAGGGATTCTGGTTAGTGATACTTTTTATAAGCTATTAAATGTGTTTGCCCTAATATGCTGTTTTAGGAATGACTTGGATAAATGCTATGAAACATGTTTCATATTAACAGTACTATAGAATTAATAAAGAGGCTTGTGGTTACTCCTTAAATTACCTCTTTTCAAGTCTTTAATGAACTGGAGCCGACGGATTTAAAGAACCACCTCTCCCTGCATATTCCCATGTGGCAGCTTTGGTCTTCCCAGTAAGGTCTGTTGTCAGAACCCCCCTTTGTCTAAGGTACTTTTGGCGAAAGTCTGTCCTCAAGCATTTTTTAAGTGGAACTTCTGGAGAATCCTACCAAAGGAATTCGGAAGGGGACTTCTAGCTTTCTGGCAGGGTTGCCAAACAGTTATTCTCAAGAGCTTTGGGGGCAGCTAGAGCCTGGGCAGAAGGGAAATACCCTGCTGATAGGGGCATACAGTGTTTTTAGATTAGTTTTTAATGTTTTATGTTGTCTGTTTAAATGATCAAATGACTTTTCTATTGTTACATGCCTTGGATCCTAAAATGAACTGGCCAAAAATGGGCATACAGATTCTTCAAATAGATAACATTCATGACTATTGTTTGAGAAGCTTGTCCCTGTTTAGGATTTAGAATTTGAATTTAGTTGCGCCAGAACTACACAGGTCCTGGAACTGGAACCATGTCATAAGATGGACATCTGTATAATTAAATATGCATACATAAAATAGGGACACCATGATAAGAACATAAGAAGATCCCTACTGGATCAGGCCAGTGGTCCATCTAGTCCAGCATCCAGCATATAGTACAGTAGACAACCAGTCCAACAACAGGGCATAGAGGCTTTTCTCTGGTTTTGACTCCTGGCACTGGTGTTCAGAGTTTTACTGATAGCTTTATCATCCGTGAGTCTTTCCAGTCCCCTGTTAAAGTTGTCTGTGCCTGTGGCCATCGCTACAACTTCTGGCAGCAGAATCCACATTTTAATAACTCGCCTTGTAAAGAAGTATTTCCTTTTGTTTCTCCTGGATATATTGCCTATCAGCTTCGTTTGATGCCCCTGAATTCTAGTATTTTGGGAGAGGGAGAAAATTTGCCAACTCTTTCCACTCGATGCATAATTTATAAAACGTTATCATATCACTATAGTCATCTCTTTTCTAAACTGAAAAGTTCCAGACTCTTCCGTTTTTCCTCATATGGAAGGTGCTCCAACCCCCTAATCATCTTGGTTGCTCTCTTTTTCCAGCTCTGCAATGTCCTTTTTGTGATATGGTGACCAGAACTGTACACAGTATTCTAAATGAGGCTGCACCATAGATCTGTATGGGGCATTATAATATTGGCTGTTTGATTTTCAGTCCCTTTCCTAATAATCCTTAACACAGAGTTTGCATTTTTTACGGCTGCAGCACACTGGGTTGACACTTTAATTGAGCTATCTGCTATGACCCTAAGATCTTTTTCCTTCTTGGTCTCAGCAAGTTCAGACCCTACAAGACTGTACTTGAAGTCGGGATTTTTTGTCCCAATGTGCATCACCTTACACTTACCAACACTGAACTTCATTTGCCATTGTCACCCACTCACCCAGTTTGTGGAGATCCTCCTGCAGCTCTTCACAGTCATCTTTTGTTTTCAGCATCCTGAATAATGTTGTGTCATCTACAGACTTGGCCACTGTACTACTCACCCCTAGTTCCAGATCAGATTTATGAACGAATTTAATAGTACCAGCCCCAATACTGATCCTTGTGGGACTCCACTGCTTACTTCCTTTCATAAATAGGCCTCATATTCTTGAATTTCCACTATATATATTACATGGAGCAAATGTTTCAATCTGAGGAACAGTTCTTATAGATTGAAATAGAATGACAGACAGATAAGGAAGATAGGAAACTCAGTGGCATGGATCACAAGCCGTCTTTATTGACAGAACAGTCACTAAGGATGCAAACTACCTAGCCTGTAGGGCTAGGTATGAGCATTTCTTAAGAAAAAAATATCTCCCTTGCTGGATAATTGCTCACAGGACAAAAAAGATCTTGCCCTCAGAACAACAAGAAGGGCAAGAATGTTTCAGAATGAGACCCTGCACCTGAAACAGTACATTAATACAACTTCAGATCTAAGACTATGGCAAATGCTATTCCCCTCACTTCATCACCCTCACCTCTGAGGGCAAAGTAAGGATCCATGACCTACCTTCTGGTGATGAGGAGGATTTTAACATCAAGAAAAAGGATCCTTTAGATCCTGTCTAATTAGGGTAAACAGCCTGCTCCATGGGACTCACTTCAGGTACCAACCATTGTCAAAGACACTGATTTTAGGGACCTCTACAAAATCATACATACTGCTCCCTGAGTAGTCAGTTGTCAACTCACAGATGCTGCTCATATGCATTCCACAGTTCTCTCTCCGAAGCGCAGCACATCTCTTGGCACTTCAGACCATCATGTGTATCCAAGCAGAGTCTTTGATTGTTCATACAAACGTCTTCTCCTTCTGAGCATTCCACACTGCAGTTGAGATCTCAAGCATGGGAGCAAGTTATTCTAGCTAGCTGGCTTCCAACCATCAAGCATATAGACTACAGTACAGAATTTATCTCCCTTCTCCTAACAGTGGATCTTCTTCGTGGTCTCTGTGCATCACACCCTTGGGATACTCTGCGCCTGCGCTGACCTTCTCGGTACCGATAGCTAGCAAAAGGGATTTTCGCGCCTCTCCCAGGTCACGCGCCGGCTCCACTGCGCATGACCAAGACCTCTACAAAATCATACATACTGCTCCCTGAGTAGTCAGTTGTCAACTCACAGATGCTGCTCATATGCATTCCACAGTTCTCTCTCCGAAGCGCAGCACATCTCTTGGCACTTCAGACCATCATGTGTATCCAAGCAGAGTCTTTGATTGTTCATACAAACGTCTTCTCCTTCTGAGCATTCCACACTGCAGTTGAGATCTCAAGCATGGGAGCAAGTTATTCTAGCTAGCTGGCTTCCAACCATCAAGCATATAGACTACAGTACAGAATTTATCTCCCTTCTCCTAACAGTGGTTGTCAGCCTGAATCCCAGAATTTTGGAAGAGATCATGTCTTTACAGCAGAAGGAGGCTGTAAAATCTGTTTTCCCCCACACGAGGGGTGTTTGGCTTTTTTTTTAATTGGTATTTTTTGGTTCAGGTCTATTGGACCTGAAAAAATTTCAGGATTTCCCCCCAAAAAATCCAGATTCCAATACCGGTATAATATTTGGATCTGGGATTTTTTAGAAATCCCAAATTTTTTTAAAAATTTTTTGGGGGGTGTCCAAGAGACCCGAGAAGAAAAATACCATTGTTGTTTTTTAAAATCCAGTCTGATCCTGGGGCTGGCTGGGGACTTCTCCTGCAGCCCAGATCTGAGGAAGTATTCATGCACTCGAAAGCTTACCTTGAATAAAGCTTTGTTGATTTTAAAGGTGCCACTGGACTCAGACTGTTTTATTAGTATTAAGCCCTCCCCATTTAATTACCAAGCAACCCCAAAGGTATTCAAAAACTAAATGGCAGTGTTACTAAGTTATCTCCCTCATGAGGGAATCACCATCTTTCCCCACATAGATGACTGGCTTCTCATGGAGAATGCCCACTTTTCTTTCATGAAACATATTTGCATCATACTTTGTCTTCTGGTGGAACTAGGTTCAGGTTCATGTAGCAGGTATCACCTTACCTTTTACCTTAGAAGATGTGTCCAATTAGTAGAAACCATCCTGTATTCTATTTGTGCATGTATCTTTCTACCTCATCACAGAGTGTATACACTGTTAAGCACCTTGCAGACCAGTTTGTTTCCTGTCATTGCCAAACAGCACCTTCTAGGTCTCATGGTCTTAACTACCTCTGTCATTCCTTTTACATAACTCAGGATGCAGACTTTGGAAATCGTTCAGTCACAATTTCCAGCCTCTGCAGAACATTATGCATATCCCGTACCAGTCCTTTGCCCTCTCCTTTGGTCTCAGCAAGAGTCAAGTTGAATACATTTAAATAGATTAGAACTCCTAGCTGTCTACCAAGCTCTACAAATTTTCCATACTGTCCTGAGAAATGTGGTAGTCTAGCAGGATATACCATAGTGTCCAACCTCCAAAGCATCCATTTCTCCTGGGGAACTGATCACTGTCATCTGGAGAGCAGTTGTAATTCTGGGTGATCTCCAGCCCCCACCTGGTTTTTGGCAACCCTTGTTCCCGTGGAGGAAATGGCTACTTTGGGGGTAGAGTCTGTGGCATTATAGCCTTCTGAGGTCTTTCTCCTCCTCAAACCTCACCCTCCCCAGGCTCCACCCCTCAAATCTCCAGGTATTTCCTAACCTGAATGTAACATCTCCTTTCTCAACCAACAGCCAACCTACTTTGATCTGCCACTCTGTCTTAAGCTTTTCCTCCCCCTACCCAGCAACCTCTACCTAGGAAAACTGTGGTCCAGTTGTGTGGTGCCAGCTAGTGGGCCAGGCCCACTTGCATGGTAGGAAACCCTCAAGGATTTGGGGGGCACTGTATCCCCCTCCCTGTATCCCCTTCCCTGCATTATTTCCTCTTTCCCTCCTCCTGGCAACCTCATATCCTCTTCTCTTTCTGTACTTCATGACTGCTCTGGAGTGTGGACTCTGTGGCATGATATCCAGCTAAAGCCTCTCTTCTTGCAAAACCGTGCCCTCAGACTCTATTACAAAATCTCCAGGAATTTCCCAACCTGCAGCTGGCAACCTTAGCCAGGCCTAGCCCCAATGAGTCCTTCCTCAAAGGCTAAAATAAGCCTAGAAAGGGCCCTGCCTTTTACTAACAGAACCAAGCCTGGAATCTGTGGTCGCCCAGCAACTGAGGGAATCCTTTGCTTAAAGCTGGAGGTGCTCCATTTATCATTTGGGGGCTTTTTAAACCCTTAAACATGTGAGAGTTTCTAGATTTCACATTTTTTTGCAAACCTGGGATGTTGTTCAGGTTTGCAGAAAGATCTGTCTTGCCCGTTCACAGCTTCATTTGCTGAATTTAAGTATCCTCATATTTAGCCAACTTCAGTACTAGACTATAACAAGAGGCGGGACCCGCGATACTCGCTGGGGGGAAGTATTCCCCACAGCTCCTGGCATGCAGAAGCAGGAGAAGCGGCAGCAGGTGAGCCCAGCCTTCTCCCTCCCCCCTCCCTCCCCCCCCAGCGGCAGTGGCGAGGCCGGCCCGCTAAGCTTTTCCTTCCCCCCTCCCTCTGCAGGGGCGAGGTCAGCCCGCCAAGCCTTCTCCTGCCCCCCATCCCCTGTGGTGGCGGCAAAGCCTTCTCAGAGCATTCCCTGTGCATGCACAGTGAACGCTCCTTTACTTTTGGGGGGATTTAAGTATCCCCCCCTATAGTTTTTTACAGTTTTTAGATTTTTCTGCACATCTGGGGATTGCCCCAAATGTGCAGGAAAATCACCCTGCCCACCAGGTGCCCCCGATGTGCGGATTTAGATATCCGCACGCGGGGGGCGCCTTGGCTATTAGATATATAGATATAGAAGCAGCTATGATCTGTGTCTCTTTCACCTTTGTTTTTCTATGTTGTGGCTGTAGGATTTTCTCATGAGGATATCCCGACTGTCACTGTGGTCTGACAATATTCATTTTGGCTCTCAGTATCTCCCTCACAGAGATTTTATCAGAGTATTCAGATTAAAATTTATATCATATCAGAATGTGGCTTCTGTGAGAAACTACTACTGTTGCAGTCTTGACTGCTATATGTAAGACATTTCTTGAACAGAAATTGGTTTTGCCATTACATCTTTCACCTAGCTGTTAGATGTTGTCTTTATGTCCTTAATTTCCTAATTAATTATTCCATCACACTGTCCCGTAATTTGTTATGACTTCTGGCTTGGCACTTCTGTGTTGTTGTGAAACTTGTTTGCTGGAAGCTTTGCTTTTATTGTTCATTTGTGCTTATTTTTCCCCATGTTATTTTTAGGTAAGCAAATGCAGCTATGTAAATATTTCTTCACCTATAAAACTCTTAGAATCTGTGTAGAGAACTGGTGGCAAGTTCCTGGTTTTATGAATAAAATCTTTAGAGTATTCACATATTGCTGTCCAATCTCTGCAGGTGCTGAAGAGAAAATTTTGGAAGAGTTTAAAGAAACACACAATCCCGACTCTCCAGATTTTCAGCTCCAGGCAATGATCCAGGCTGCTGGCAAGCTAGTGCTGATTGACAAGTTGCTGCCAAAACTGAAGGCTGGTGGCCACAGGGTGCTTATCTTTTCCCAGATGGTGCGCTGCTTGGACATACTGGAAGACTACCTAATTCAAAGACGGTGAGAACAACAATATAATCTGGTTCTAGAAAACAGCATTTATTTAATATGCTATCAAGTATTTAACCTGTATTGCAAAAAGAGGAAACAATGAAACAAAGGCACTTCACATTATGAACTGGGAAAATGGCATCTGTATAAGTATAACAATAATTATGCCATTAGTTGTGTCTAACCTTTAGGTCATAACCATAATAAACCACCTTTTCATTTATGGCTAGATTTGTTTTAACAGCTAATACAGATTATGAATAGAACAAAAACTTGTTTTCAATTTGAATGAAGTTCTGTAGGGTGGAAGTTTTCACTATTATACAAAGCTGCTTAAAGATCATTTTCTACCTTTATTATTCTGTTGATCTTGTAACAGTGCTTCAGTATCTAATATTGAGTGAAATACTACAGGAAAGCTAAGTGGTGTAATGCCAGTTGAGTGTGTTTGGTGTATTTAGGATCTAAAATTTGATTTACTACTCAGAATACTGAGGAATTCCATTTTTAGAGAAACCAGTTTCTTTCCCCTGTGACTGTGAAGTAAATTTTGCAAATGTGAAAAAAGTGGAACTGTTGAAAGGTCTTCTGTAGAACTGCCCCTCCATTTCCGTTTGCCTCAGTTTACCACTTACAGCCTGATTGAAAGTTTCCAGAGCTAATCAGAAAAGGGCCAAATAGTTAAAGGAAAGAGCAGGTAGAGAAAGAGGTACTTTTCTCCCTTTCTCACAATACAAGAACTTGTGGGCACTCCATGAAATTGCTGAGCGGTCGGGTTAGAACGGATAAAAGGAAGTACTTCTTCACCCAAAGAGTGATTAACACTTGGAATTCACTGCCACAGGAAGTGGTGGCGGCTACAAGCATGGACGGCTTCAAAAGGGAATTAGATAGGCATATGGAGCAGAGGTCCATCAGTGGCTATTAGCCACAAGGTATAGATAGGGACTCTGGGGCAAGTGATGCTCTGTCATCTTGGTGCTTGGGGGGGGGGTCAACAGTGGGGGGGCTTCTAATGTCCTGGCCCCACTGGAGGACCTCCTGATGGCACTGGTATTTCTGGCCACTGTGGGATACAGAGTGTTGGACTGGATGGGGCCTTTGGCCTGATCCAACATTCGCATCTCTTATGTTCTAATCAGAAGAAAAAAGTGAAGCAATTTGCATAATTCATTCTAAATCAAAATACTGGTTTCTCTTTGACATATTTGGCATAGACAGTATCCTTTTCCTTAGGTGCTGCTGATAATGGTTTCTCTGTTTTTCCAGGTATCCCTATGAACGTATTGATGGCAGAGTAAGAGGAAACCTTCGTCAGGCAGCTATTGATAGGTTTTCCAGACCTGATTCTGACAGATTTGTGTTCCTGCTATGTACAAGAGCAGGTGGTTTAGGAATTAATCTTACTGCTGCAGATACCTGCATCATCTTTGATTCTGATTGGAACCCTCAAAATGATCTCCAGGTAATACTGTAAATAGGCAATTGTCATAAACAGTTTCCTTAATGCTTTTCTAAAAGAAATTTATTTCTTGAGAAATATGCTGAATTTGAAGTGTGTGCACCTGTATTCTTCCAGATTATTATTCGATCTAAGAATTGTTCTGAAGTTTATATAGCCTACATCCTTATTTTTCTTTGATGCACAAACTGAATCCTCTTTCATAATTTTCCAGGCTCAGGCTCGATGTCACAGGATAGGACAGAGTAAGTCTGTGAAGATCTACAGGTTAATAACAAGGAATTCTTATGAAAGGGAAATGTTTGACAAAGCAAGCTTAAAACTTGGCCTTGATAAAGCTGTGCTTCAGTCCATGAGTGGAAGAGAGAATGCAACAAATGGGGTGAGATTATAAATAATATATATAGAGAGAGATTTCAAAAATAAATTTGTAGCGTGCTTTATATATATTATAGCATTACCTAAGAGAAACATAAAGACTAATCTGAAGAAGTGAGCAGTGACTCATGAAAGCTTATACCCTTCCACAAATTTTGTTAGTCTTTAAGGTACTACTGGATCTTGCTCTTTTCTACTGCTACAGACAGACTTAACACAATTACCCATCCTGATCTAAAAGAAACTGGTTTTATAACTGAATGCTTTCATGGAAATTTTCACATGCCGTTCCTTTTTTCCAGTCATACGGCTTTCAACTGTGTAAGCCCGTTGAACTTTGAAGAGGTTAAAAAATGCTATGTGTTATGGGATAACTATAATCAGTTTCTAAAAGATGACCCCCCTCATACTTACAGGTACAGCAGCTTTCTAAAAAAGAAATAGAGGATCTTTTGCGGAAAGGGGCTTATGGTGCTCTTATGGATGAAGAGGATGAAGGGTCTAAATTCTGTGAGGAGGATATAGATCAGATTCTTTTGAGGCGCACACACACAATCACTATTGAGTCTGAGGGGAAAGGCTCTACGTTTGCAAAGGTGAGCATTGACCATGATACATTTCTTGTTATGAGTGGAAGTATATGTTAAAAGATCTTTGCTGTGGTTTCATATGTTTAAGAAATACAAGCCTAGGTATGATGTTGGAACCTCTATCATACAAGCAAGACCTAGGGTCTCACTATACCCCAACAAAATCTTGAGTCTCAGGCTTCCACAAGTGTGAGGCACCATAGATATGGCATGAAAAATAGGTGCTCCACATTAAGTATTGCTGAACTCAGCAGGTCATCATGAGTTGAGAATTTTAGCAGACAGAGGCTTAGATCTGTTGGAAACTTCTGTCAGTGGAGCACAGCTTTCATGCTTCCCCTCTTCTACTACAGCCCAAACCAGGGGTGTCGAACATGTGGCCCAGGGGCCGGATCAGGCCCCCGGAGGGCTTCTGTCAGGCCCGCAGTGGAACTGGCTGTCTTCTGCTTCTTCTTCCAGTTCTGCTGCTGCTGCATCATCATAGGTTTGCAGCTTACAGATACACACCTGAACAGCAGAGTCAAGATTGTAACTGCACAGACATTTTGATGCAATAATTCAGAGCAAGAGCTGTCAGTTATCAGAGACTGTTAAGTAAACAAATATTGCAAGAGTGCTAATGTTTTAAGCATGGGGTTTTTAAAGTAAAAAAACACCCTTTGTGTTTGTGTCCTTTATGAAGTTTATATCTCCGCTACCTGGCACATTATGACACACATGGCCCAGCCCAACAAGGTCTCATTTATGTCACATCCAGCCCTCATAACAAATGAGTTCGACACCCCTGGCCCAAACCAATAAAGCTACTGTTTCTTGGGGAGCACGGGGGGAAGCAGATCTGCAGTGGGAGGGGGGAATCAGCAAGCATTCCTCCCCACTTTCTGGCTGTGGAAATCTGCTGGATCCAAGCCAGATTATCTAAACAGTATGAAAAATTTCACATTATGTTTAATTCATCCAAAACACTGGGATCCCTTGTTGAGAAGTTCTGTGGCACTTGTTTCATTGTAGTCTGAAATAAATCTGGACTCTGTCAATAGCAGGTTAGAGATCCCTGCGAAGAAGAGATGTTACATTATTGAAACCAATCATCACCCTCTTTAGGTCCTATCCTGGCAGTTTTGTTTATGACACCTAAGAGGGAACAAAGCACTCTTTGTATTCACATGGCACTCCCATAGCCATTTTTTTCCAAATGACAATTCCATGTTTAGGAAGAAACTGTTTACATCTACCAGAGACTCAGACTAGTTTAGCTATTTCTTCCTAATGACAGTCAGGAACATTCAGTTTCTGTCCTTGAACCTCAGCCTCCCCATCCCAAAGGTGTGCTGAACAACAGCAGCACTGCAGACTGACCTCCACTTTTGGTTGATCAATACTTCCTTGTGATGTAAAATTGTAGCTTTATTGATTATACTGTCTTACAATAGATTAAAAAAATGAAATTAAGTGAATAAATGCAGAATAATGTGTTTACATATTTATTGTGTTGTTCTAGGCTAGTTTTGTTGCATCTGGTAACAGGACAGACATTTCTTTAGATGACCCTAACTTCTGGCAGAAGTGGGCAAAAAAAGCTGAATTGGATATTGATGCCTTAAATGGACGGGTGAGAGCTTTGAACTACCAGTTAATTTAAACAACTAAAGTACATTTAAATGTTTATGGGGGAAAATATCAACCCTTTTCTTTTTTATTTAGAACAACCTGGTTATTGATACACCAAGAGTAAGAAAGCAAACTAGACTATACAGCGCAGTCAAAGAAGATGAACTGATGGAATTTTCAGATCTGGAAAGTGATTCAGAAGAAAAGCCTAGTATAAAACCTCGTAGACCACAGGACAAATCCCAAGGTTATGCAAGGAGTGAATGCTTTAGAGTAGAAAAGAATCTATTGGTTTATGGGTAAGTAAAAAATATGAGTGTACTATATGAAACTGTTGTAGTTTTGAACTGTTTGGCCTTTAATGTTTGTATAATGGGAATGCAAAAGCTAGAGACCTGCAAGGGATATCTCATTTTTTCCTCCAAGAACGTTCCCCTCGAGGATACCAAGTACCTTGGGTCAAGTTTCCCCCTTTATCTTCTTCGTGGTCTCTGTGCATCACCCCCATGGGATTAGGGTGCCTGCGCTGATCCCAATTGGTAACCTATCAAGCTGGAAAGGATTTTCGCACCGTTTTCCCAGTATCGTGCACAGGAGCCCTACCACGCATGCTCACTGGGATGGTAGCGGACATCCCGCCAGTTCTCTTCTGACCACTATGCTGATTGGTTGATCTCCAACACCACAGTCAGTGATTCTACCTTTTTTCTCAACTTTTCTACATTCGCTTAGATTTTTTCATCAACCTTTTGGTTTCTCTTGTCCCTATCTTGTTTTCAAAAGGGGGAGGAGAAAGAAGAGTGAGAGTGAGTAAACTTCTCCAAGACTTCACCCCACCCAGGGCACCCCTTCTCCCCCTTTATCTCCCCTCCATAACCCCCTAGCTCAGGGGTGTCAAACATAAAGCCTGGGAGCCAAAACCGGCCCGTCTAGGGCTCTTATGTGGCCTACGAGCAACTAGTGCAAGGGAAGGAACAGGAGACTGCTTGGGAGAGTGGGCGGAGCCACTCCGATTGTGGCTTCAGCATGGTGGAACAATGTCATCTGCATCAGTCATCTCCAGTCCTGTGATATAGGTTTTCCTTTGTACCCCCCTCCCAGCCCATGGGGTCTTGCAGTGAGGATACACCAACTCGGAGCTTACCAGCTGCTGTCCTTTATACAGTTTATATCTCTGTTAGCCGAATTGCTTTATTTACAGAAATGGGTTCTTGCCAATTTATACCAAGGTCCTGATCCCACCAAGGGTTACCAGGAAAGGATTTGAGGCTGTTGTGGTTAAAATAGATGTCTTTTACTTTAAAATATATCTCATACAAACAATACTGATGCACTCACACATTCAATCAAGTTCCTAAGAATTACAGTAGGAAATAAACACAGTTGCATTAGCAGGTAGGGGTGATGACGGGCGATACTTATCTGTCTTACAGCTTGGTTGTTCCAATGAAGAATGGAGGGAAGAAATGGAAACAAAAGGGAATCCACACACGACCAGAACCAACCGGAATGTGTGGGTCTCTTGACTGCAGATCAAGAGATTAGTGGAGGCAAGGGTTGGGGATAGCAAGTGGGACTTAAGAGGGGTAAAAGCAGACAGGGGTCGTCTTGGGGGGAGTGCTAGCTAGGAGGAGTCAGGTGACTGGTTCTCTCCTTTTATAGGGGGTCCAAGAGATGGGTGTTAACGGTGCCAACCTCTTGACCCACCTACCTGTTAGTCCGTCCCAAAAACAATCCTATTGGTTGCATGTGGGAAGGGGAGGTTACCTAAGAGGGGTGGCCAATATTATAACCTAAAACCTTACTCAGAGTATGGCATCTGGACAGGTGTGAAATCTAGGCGTCAGGATGCTTCATTGTAGTGCTGATGAAGTTGGCCAGTTCCATTGATAACCAAATGTTCATATGGCAGGAAATTCCAGCTCAGGAACAAAGCAGGCGATGGGTAGTACGTGACCATAAGCAGCTTTGTCATGGGGGCTGTCTCTTCCTAGAGTTGTTGTTTCATTGCTCACAATAATGGAGGTTTGTGCTTCTTCACCAGGCTGGGCAACTGTGTAGCAGAACCCTTATTTACATGTTCAGGCACCCTCTATGTGTGGCATCACAACAGGTGACCTAAAGTGTACAGTTTTCTGAGCCTATGTGTATGTGCACAGTCCATTGTGTGTAGCAATAAGCAGTCCATAAAGAAATATCAGGCTTATTCTCTAACATCTCTGGTACCAGGCATTACATTTTATGGCACACGTGCCCCATCCCGACAAAGGGACATTTATGTCAGATTCGGCCCTCGTAAAAAATGAGTTCGATTCCTCTGCCCTAGCTTATGGAAAGATGTTGGGACTTTTTCAAGAGCTGCATGAAGGGCGGGAGTCAAATTCCACTTCACGATGGCCACTCCCTCTGCTTGCTTTACCTTGGTAAAACGAATTGAACCGAGTTGTGCTCCCATTGCGCAAAATTCTCAAAACAAACGAGAAAGAATCAAGCAGTGCATCTTCAGGCGGCACTACTTAAATTGGTGCTTACTCCCATCCTAATGGCTTTGACTGTGCTATCTCAGGTTGATACTTTGGGCCAGCCATCTATGTTGATCGGCCAGTCAACATCGGGAGAACTGTGGTCTCACAACCAGACCCCATTCTGACACCGACCGCCCAGCAAAACACTGGGGCTTGGCTTCCAAGTCAGAGTCCTCCACTCCAAGAAATGTAGGAAGGATAAGGGTCCAAAGGCAGACAAAACCAAGAAACACAAGAAGGGCTTGGGGAAACCTTGGAGCCCATGGCACGACTCCTCCCAACATGAGAAGTCCACCTCTCCAAAACGCCTTTTATCGGAGGCAATGCCTCCCTCAACAGTGTAGCCTCTCAAATTACTGCTCTTCGTCATGGTCTCTATGTATCACACCTATGGGTTAGGCACCTGCGCCAACTCTGATTCAGGAAACTTCTATCAAGCTCGAAAGGATCTGGAGCCTCGCCCCAAGCATGCGCAGGAACTCCAGCCATGCGTGCCCAGTGGGCGGGGCCCCAGTGTCCCACCAGTTCTCTTCTGACCGCCGTGCTGATCACTCGATCTGCTTTGGTTCGGGAACTTTCTTGTTAGGGACAGTTTTTCCTTTCCTGTAGTCCTTTTGTTGTTGTTGTTTTCTTCTGCTCACCTTTCTCTTCATTTTCCTTCTGCTTCTTTAAAAAAAGTTACTTTTGTTTATTTTTTCTTACTGACTTAGGTCGGACCCCCCCCTTTTCTTCTACCGCTTTGCCCCCCTTCAATGGCAAAGCGGTGGGGGGTTTTCAAGCACTGTACCCAGTGCGGGTCCAAGCTTGCACCGCCCGACGGCCACTCCTTGTGCTTGCTCTGTCTGGGTGAGGTGCATAGGACTGACATCTGTGTCCACTGTACCAATTTTTTGACTCAGACACGGAAAAACAGAGCGGCCAGACTTCAAGCAGCTCTTTTGGAATCAGCTTTGCGACCCAGGGTGATGACTTCTACACCGACTGAGGTACCCATGAAGTCGGCATCGGATGATCAACCTCGATTGACACTGATGGATCAGCATTGATTAACACCGAAAAATCAGTCCCGAGCATCGGAATCTTTGGGCACCGCCTCCCCCATTGCTGGGACTTTGGCAGTGAAGCCGCCCACACTGACCACTTCATCAGTGTCCTCGACACCGGCATCCAAGAAAAAGAAGGAGTCAAATAGTCATACTAAGGTGAAGCACAAGCACCTTAAAAATGTCTCGAAGTCCGCTCTGATGAGTGCAGCATCAAGCTCTAACATGCAAACTGATAGTCCCCTGCCTCACTCTGTTTCACCGAACTTGTTGACGGTTCCTGAGATACCGCCTATCATGCTACTTAATTCGCCAGTTCGCCAAACAGATTCCCCGGTCCGCAGACCGATACTGGGCGGTCTTCACTTCTCGGATCAGAAGTCAAAGAGATCCCTTCCCACCAAAAAGCATCCCATCGATACAGGTCGTCGATACCAGCGCAGATCCAGGCACAAATAGGACTGTTCATCTTCCCACCACAGCAGCCCGTCCTCAAGGTTTTGGGATCAATCCCCTCGCTACCGACCTCCACCCGTCTTCACCATTCCAGTCGACCATGATGGTTCTGTGGGACCATAGACAACTGCAATACCTGTACAGCACATTGCCATTGGCCATGGCGTTCCTGTGGCTGAACCAGAACAGGCCGGTGGATTGGGACCAACAATTGAGCATCTCCCGCCGTGACCGCTCTCTTGTTCGGGACCGTACTACCATCAAAGGCCCGCAGGAGCCCATCAATGCCGATGCCCCCTCCTTCAGTGAAGGAATCAAGGCCGACTCCACCGAGGTCAACAGTTACACAATCACAGCAAGCGGTTCCTACACCAACCCGATGCAGGTCGACCCAACGCACACATTGTCAGGAGAGGAAGACTTGTCTCACTCCACAGGGAATAACTTGGATGAGGAGGATTCTGGTGCACCAATCACCCCTTCAGGCCCTTCTCCTAGTCAACAGGTGGCTGAAGATCTTCCTATATCACGCTCAGAGGATCTCCACTCCTACAGGGAATTAAGAGGATGGCTCATTCATTGGGAATCGCCATTTCCCAACCTCAACCCCAAGTCACTGATGCCATTATTGGCATTATACAGATAGATACTTCAACGGCGGTTGCTCTCTCCATGCCATGACTCAGGTCTTACTCCAAGTGGTCAAGTCCCACTGGGACAAATCTGTGTCCACCTTGGTCTCTACCAGATGACTGGACCACATGTACAAGATCCAAGAGGCAGGAGCAGAATTCCCCTGCTCCCACTCTAAACCTAACTCCATGGTGGTCACCCTCTCCAGTAAGAGCAAGAAGATTCACTCCACTCCTTCGGACAAGGAAAGCAAGAAGCTGGATGTATTTGGGAGAAGATTTTACTTGGCGGGCACCCTGGGTGTGAAAACATCAAACTATATCGCCTGCATGGGACGCTACCAGTATTCTCTTTGGGAACAATTGTCACCCCTCCTGGCACGGCTCCCTGAACAACATCACAATGACGCCAGGAGAATACAGAAGGAGGACATGATACTGGCCAAGCAAGTAATCAATTCTGCGAAGCACAGCCTGGATAGCAGCTCCAAGATGATGTCATCCGCCATTGCCCTCCGCTGTCACACCTGGCTTCGCACCACATCTCTCCAGACGGACACCAGAGCTCTCATTGAGGATTTACCATTCTGTGGTCAAGGGCTCTTTCACTCCACCACTGACTCTGTTCTACAGGAGATGGATA